ATTATTTGAATGTCAGCAGACAGCAAGAAGCCTCCCAGATCTCCAGATGCATTTGAGATATCAAAAAAGTACTCCAGAGTTTTGTTCAGCATGGGGGTGAGTAGAAAATGAAGGCTAATCATGTTTTGGGTGTACTATTCCTTTAAAAAAACCAAAACAATAGACTAATCCTAAAGCAGGCAAACCCCAACTTAACCCTACGTTGCAGGCCTGTTCTGATGCTTGTGACGAGAAAAAAAAAAAAAAAAGGAATACCTATTGGAAGATGATGTAAAAATCCTACAGAAACGCTCTGCTCTGTTCTGTCCTCGTCTCCAGCGGGAAAGAAAAAAAATACTGGCGCTCACAGTCACAGCTCCAACCACGTGCGTAATCCACAGTCACAAACTTTCCATCCGTGTCTCCAACAGTGCCAGAGGTCCTCTGAGCACTTCCTGGTGGCTCAGAGTGCTATCTGGGTCCAAACTCTCTTGTCTGGTTGAGTACCCGTCCTATGCAAGCTCCTACATCCAGCTGAATAAGCGAACGGCAGCCTATATCCCATTAGGGAGCTGCTAATGGTAAGCTAACGGCTAGAACACAGTCCCTCAAGCTTCGAGTAGAAGCTCTGCTGTCTTCTACCCTGGACTTAACCAACTGTACTTCTTGTGGGATATCGTAGGGACAACCCACGGCAACAATAACCGTCTAAAATCTTGAATAAGTGAACATCTTCTTCTTGGTTTTTATTGGCGGTTGGCAACAAACTTTTAGTAGCATTACCGCCACTTACTGGTATGGAGTGTGGTTCGTGATGATCTATATACTTTCACTTCATACCTAATCCCTACAATAACTTCTGATTAAACATACATTCGCACATACACACCTACTTATATTACCTAGCTTGCATATAGCTTTATATACTACTCCTTGTTATTCTTTACACATTCACAACCGTCTTGCTCTACTCAGATTCTATGACATAACCTTGTTTTTTAAGAAACCTAATAATTATTTGAATATGTCTACTTCCCAAATCTCTCCTCAAAAATTCTGTTAAATTAAACCTTTCTTTAATACCTTCACACTCTCTCAACATGCATCTTCTCTCTTCTTCATATTTATAACACTCTAAAATAACATGCTCTATTGTTTCAAACTTCTCACAATAATCACATTTCCCAGTTTTATGCTTCTGTATTTTAAAAAGTGAATAATTAAGCCCTGTATGACCGAACCTTAACCTTGTTATTATTCTTTCCTCCTTCCTGCTTCTTCTTCCCTTTTTTTTCCTTCCTACAAACTTCTGAATTTTATAAAACCATCTTCCTGTTAACCCTTCTTCCCACCTTCTCTGCCATATTTTCATCAGCTCTTCTTTGGCTTTATTTTTCCCTTCAGATTTACTCATCCCAACTGCAAAACTAATAGGATTATGTATTGCCTTCTTTGCCATTTTATCAGCCTTCTCGTTTCCTACTACCCCTATACTGTATGTGCTGGAACCCACACAAATGTAACTACTAACCCCATATTTTGTATTCTAAGTAGATTATGATATATTTCTAACAAGATGTCCATCCTACTTTCCGTATTATTATATTTTATGCTTATCAAAGCTGAGCTTGAGTCTGAGCAAATTATTGTTTGCAGTGGTTTTGCATCCTCTATCCATTGTAAAGCCAATAGTATTGCTAACATTTCACCTGTATAAATCGATAACCCATCCGTAATTCGCTTCCCTAAATTCAAATTGAATTCTGGAATTGTACACGCTATTTCTATTTTTCCGGCGATTTTTGATGCATCTGTATAAATTTGGACATGATTATAGTAATTATTTAAATGTGATTGCACTGAATATCTATCTACAACATTTGATTTGTGTTGTTTCCTAACCATTATTGATAAATCCACTGTAGTTTCTGGTAGAATCCAGGGTGGTATAACCAGTGTTGTGCCTGAACGCCTTCATTGAACGAAAGTTCATGAACTCGTTCATATTTTGGGCGAACGTGAACTGAACGTACTGTATTACTGCCTGATGAACGTTATTGTGAACTCGTTCATTCTGTTGTCTGTGAACGGCACGCTCTCTCAGTTCAACTTCGTTCAATAGGTTGCCAAATTTCTATAGAGCCCTCCAGGCGAAACCCCAGCTAAATCATACCATAAACAAGCCTTAATATGTAGCAGGAAAAACACCCAATCTGGCAACACCAGCTACCAGTGTCATAGCCTACAGTAGAGTCCTGCATGGGTCGAGTTTTACCAACCCGCCCGAACCCGTTAGGATAAGGTGACCAGATTTCTGAAATCAAATCTGGGGACATTTCTTGCTCGTGGATAAAAATCAATACATCTTATCGAGATGAAATTAGGAAACGGGGACAGTAATGGTTTCATATATTTTTACATATTTATTAATATTTAAACAACAAAAATCAAGTGTAAAAGCCAGGAATGTGCCTTTCCAAACGTTTAGTGTATCCTAAGATTAATAACTAATTAATAATGAATAGTGTTATTAGTAGAGAACTAGAACTGTGTCTCTGGGTTGGGGCAAAGTGGTGGGGGTGGGAGCGGAGGGGTCAAGGGTCATTAGCAGGG